CACACACACACACACATATACACTACACACATACACCACACACACACGTATCACACACATACACCACACACCACACACATACATATATCACACACATACACCACACACCACACACACACACCACACACACACACAGGCTAACTTTGAAGATATGATCCTCCTGTCTCCACCAACTTCCCAGTGCTAGCATTACAGGCATGCCCTACCACAACCTGTTTATGCGGTGCTGTGGACTGGACCTAGGACCTTGTGAATGCCAGGCAAGTACTTTTTCAACTGAGCTACGTCCCAAGTACAAACATTAATTTATCTATTTATCTATCTGACCATTCCTTTTTCTGTGCCTCCTATTCCCAGGTGATTGGCTTCTCCCTTGAGTGAAGAAGACATGCTTCTCCTTTGCCTTGCCCATGGGGTCTGGCACCGTGGGATCTGGCACAATGATTTATTTCCAGCAAATACTCTGAAAGTACTTTCATTGTGTGAGCAAGGAGCAGACACCCACGCCCAAGCCTCCCAGCACCAATCCACAGGGCACCTCTAGCAGCTGGGGACTCTGGTATGTACAGGCACCCCCCATTTTGATCAATACTGCAGAGAGGTGTCCTTTGGGAGTGAGGGGGCAGCATAGTGAAGTGAGAGGAGGGGTGCTCACACTGGAACTAAGGGATCTGGCCAGATTCCCAGCACCAGCACATGGCTGCATGTTATTCCCAGCTCTGTAAGATGAGAAGAAAAGCAGATCATATGCCCCAAGCCCACACTGTAAAGTGTTATAAGAGAATTCTATCTACAATCTCAATCCAGTGAACTGGAGACAGTCACTCTCTCCATTGGCATGTATGTGTGCACATGTAGTATATAAGTGTGCATATATGTGTGCGTGCATATATGGGCATGTGTGCGGAAGCTGATAACTGCCAGTGTCATTCTTGCCTAGTTCTCTCTCTCTCTCTCTCTCTCTCTCTCTCTCTCTCTCTCTCTCTCTCCTTCTCTCTTTCTCTTTGAGGCAGGGTCTCTTGGACCCAGGGTTCATTCAGCTAGGCTGGTTGGCCAGTGATCCTAGGGATCCTCTTGCCTCTGCCTCCCTAGCTCTGGGATTGCAGGGGTGTGCCACCACCCCCCGACCCATATATGGGTCCTAGAAATCAAACTCAGGTTCCCATGCTTGCCTAGCAAGCATTTTACTGAACCATTTCTCCGGCCTCATATCCTATTTTTTCAGGTGGTAAATCTGTCTGTGAAGCCAGGTGTGGTAGCTAGAGAATCCAAACCAGAGTTCAAATTCGGCCTGAGCTGCATGGCAAGATCCTATCTCCAAAAGGAAAAGCAAAAATAAAAACAAAAACAAACCTGGAATAGTTTATTTGCTCTGAGTCGTGAGACCAAAGAGGGCAGACCCCAAGCCTGTGCGGCCCACTCTGCCCCTCGCCATTCACCTCATAAGGTTTTCATGAATAAACGGACGTTTTTAAGAAAAGTGATTTTTCCCACGCCTTGGACATAGTAAGTGCTCAGTAAACTCTGCTTCCCTCCCCCTGCCCTCCCTAATGCCTTAATTTCCCCGAAGTCTGGGAAGTACTGTGACCAGAGGTTGGAGGAGTCTGTCATTTATTTTTAGAATCTCAAAGGAAGATGCTGACATTGTGAGTCACTGAGAGAGATCTCTGTTCTTGGGAAGGAAGGTAGCCTGCCAGCTGGCTGCTGTTGAGTTCTTGTCACTCTGGAGACAGAAGGAATGGCCTGGAGCCCTGGGCCTTTGAGGGAAGAATTCTATCACCCCCAGGTCACGCTGAACCACCTTCCGTTGTGTCTCCCAGACAGCCAATCAATGGCTGTATTGATATCACCCCAGCCCCTGGCATCAGTCTGCCTGCTTCTCCCCAGCATTGACTGCAGAACTGGGTGCGTAGCCTCTGCTGACCTTCCTGACCACACCTCTGCAAGTCCTCCTGCGGTATGATGTGCTGTGTCTTGCACCAGCTCAGAACATCATGGCAGGGAACACATTCAGATCACCAGAGCCTTGGGCAGGACTTCCCATGACTGCCTCCCTCTGCCTGGGAGCCTCTCTACCTCTGTCTGGCTAACTCTCCTTCCGTGGTTTCTAGCTCGCACACCTCTCCCTCTTGACGGCTGTCTTCAGGCGACCTCCTTTCCTCCCCCCCCCACCCAGGCTGAATTCACCTCAGCTGTGAAATTAGAAACCCTCCTCTTGTCTCCTCTCTAGGGCCTTCCACCACAAGTTGTTCTTGTTTCCTCTGAAGGCCCACACCTTAGCCTGACCCCTAAGGGCACATGAACAGGAGCCACGGCCCAAAGTGCTTCTTTGTGAGAGTGGGCAGGGGGCCAGGATAGTATGGAGTGCTGTGGGAAGACAAGTGGCTTCCTGGAGGAAGTGCGGAAGCGGAGTTTACGGCCTTCTCGGGAGACAGGAAGTCTGAAAGGGAAGAAGAGAACGAGGTGTCCAGTTTGAGGCCTGGGTGAGCTGCTGGGGACTGCGGGACTGTGTCAGCGCGACTGCTGCATGTGACTGCTGTGCCGGGTGAACACGCACAGAAGGACTGAGTCTTGGGGACAGAATGGGTCCTATAGTGTGGAATACAGTGTGGACAAAGGGTGAATGAGGTATGAGTGGAAGGGATAGCACAGGTACCTGACTGAGGCTGGGGAGAGTACAGGGAGGGCCTGGTGAGCTGGGAAAGTTCTTGAGGGGATCCAGTCTTGTGCTTTTTGACTTTTTTTTTTTTGCTTATCATCTTCTCAACACTGACCACCAGCCCATTTTACAGATGGTGACACTGAGGCTCAGAGGAAGTAAGAGCCTGCTGAAGACCACTGGTCAGGACCTGGTGGGCAGTTGGTGCTTTCTACATATGAGTGACAAGTTTGCAGGCATGAATGAGTTAATAAATGGATGGTTGGTGGAAACCAAACCCAAACATGTCTGGGTTTAGCTCTGGTCTATTTCACAAGGCAGGAATCCTCTCCAAAAACAAGATGACAATCCCATGGGAAGGAGGATGAGCCACACAAGCTCCCTGGAGCCTGAGGTGCCAGGTGCTTTGAGCGCATCGCCTCTCCCGCTATGGTTGACCTTTCTGTGCATTTTCACAAACGCATAGAGCCCTTCTGCCCTCTACCGCCCTCCCAGATGCCTGGAACACCCCGTGAGACTTTGCTGCTCTTGGCTACCTAAGGCTCACCCAAGCTTAGCCCTTTGCAGCCTCCCAAGCCCAGAGTTCACAGGCCGCATGCTTTTGCCTTTCCGGAATCTTCTTTGACTACCCATGGGACCCTCTACACCAGCTGCCCTTTGCAAGAGGCTGTGTGCTTTCCCTACCTCAGGGTTTATCGTTTTCCCCAGGAAAATATTTGTCTTCCCATTACTTTAATCGTACCTCTCGGGCCCAGCAGAGAGGCCTTGGAGGGGAATTAGTCAGGTTTCTTTGTTTGCTGTACTGGGGAGAACAAACAGGCTTGTTTGATTTACCTGTGTTTTCCCAGTAGGTAGACCCCCTTGGAGCAAACACTAGCAGCCCCACTTCCTGCCCTTCTGACCTGGGTATTTAAAACCCAGAGGGCCTTGCTTGAGCCAGAATGCCAGTGTTGCTCTCTGTTTGAGCCAGAGCGAAGTTCCTGAGCGGAAGAAATGTCTGTTCTTCTTCAGGTGACAGACAGCCCTCACTTTCCACAGGCTGATCTGAATGGGACTGTGTGGAGCTAAAGGGTTCCTGAGATGATGCGGGATTAGACAGGAGCAAAGACCTGGAAGAGACTTGAATTGGTTACTGAACAGGGCCCTGGATATGAAGCTCCAAAGAGCTGGTTCAGCTCAGTTCTGGAGGAGCCGTTTATGTTCACTACTCAGTGCTGGACTTGTACACCGCTCCTTCTCCACGCAGGCAGCGAGTGCTTCCTATGAACCACTGATATTTTAGGTATTGGGATGTATCAGGGGGCAGAAGAAGCAGTAATGTGTGCTTTCTGAAACAAGGAAGGACATACACCAAACACACACACACACACACACACACACACACACACAGCCCAAGGCAGGTTAGACAGGAAAGGAAGATACCGCAGATGGGGTTAGGGGCAGTGGAGGTGGGTGCCAGGGTGGGAGCTGTGGCTGAATGTCCCTGAGAAGAGCCACACCTTACACTCAGTCTTCTGAAGGCGGGTTACCGGCTTAGAGCCTCGGTGACTGTGGAGGGATTGGAATGTTGTTGTAAGGACAGTGCCAAATTATCCTGGGCTAATCTTTACCCTCCCTTAATAACTATTTATTGTGCTCCTTCACATATGTGCTAACATCTTTGGGATCATCAAAGTCAAACGTAGCTACAGATCCTAGTTCCCATCAACCACACGTCTGTAAGACTGGATGAAAGTCGTAAGAATGTTGCTAGGTAGCATCTGATGCTTCAGGCTGAGTTTTCCCCTCTGCTTTCACCCACCTACCTGATGTGCCCACCAGAGCACTTTAAAACTGCCTTGATTTTCTCTGTTCTGTTACTATAAAAATTTCATCAAGCTGATATCGTGTTGGAACAGGGAATTGAGAGTGATCTGAATCTGTGTTCTCTGGGCCATGCTCACTCATATTTGGGTCCAGAATGAACCATCTCTCATGTCTTTGAAGGTGAGTGATGATCTTTTCCATCAGCAGAAGAAAACCTGCTCCAGGCCTTGGTGGTTCCCAAACCCATTCTTGGGCCTCCTGCCTGGTCAAAGATCCTGGAGCGCTGGATACAGCGAGTGCTCCGTGAACATAAGATCCTTCTCCCACTTGTCTCTGAGGCCTTTGCTAGCCAGAGAGCAGGCAGGAGTTGGGTGGTGAGACCCCGGCATGGAGTCATTGTCACAGCAGGGCATACATAAGGAAGGGAGCTGGGGACTGGGGGCAGGGCAGACACCAAGGTGATCATGATTGACTTTGAAATTACTGTGGACTGGTTGGGAGTGGAGCTGGAGTGGGGAGGGACAGGCTAGCTCAAGAGAAGACCTCAGTGATGTCCCTGTAGTTCCTAGTGTGCCGTGGAGACTGATGAACAACAGACCTATGAAAGGAAGCCAATGACTTCTGGGAGTTTTCCTATGCACCTTCTTCCCAGAACCCTCTACTGGGGCAGTCAGTCAGCTCTCCACCTTACGGCCTGAGGGGCTGAGGCCCTGAGATAGAAAAGCTCACATGTTGCTGACTGGTTGGAGCTATATTATAGATTTGGATCTATCAGACTCTATGGACCAGTCTTTTTTATCTCTCCTAACCTCACAATCATGATCAGTTTTCCCCAAATAAATGATCATCATCATCGTCATCAATATTCCAAGCATGAGCATCACCATCAGCCCCACACCATGGGCACCGTTGTTACCACCTCAACACCATAGCCATCAGCCTTGGGATTGTGGTGGCTGTGAGACAGGGTGGGCTCTCAGCTTTGCCATTCAGGTGATGTTAGACAAGCATCTCTCTTAGCTTCAGCCTCCTTACCTATGTGATGGGGCTAGACAAATGGAGCCCAGAGGGTGGGAAAGGCAACAGAACCTGATCTTTGCTGCCTCCGCTCCACCAAAGCTGCCTATGGTAGTTTGAATAGGAAGGCCCCCATGAGCTCATATATTTGAATCTTTAGTCACCACGGAGGGGCACTATTTGAAAGGATTAGAAGGATTAGGACGTGTGTCCTTGTTGGAGGAAGTGTGTCACTGGGGCTGTGCTTTGAAGTTTCTAACGCCCAGGCCAGACCTTCCCCCTTTCTCTCTGCTAGATTGGGATGTAGAATTCTCAGCGGTTTCTCCGGCACCATGTCTGCCAGTGTGTCACTATGCTCCCTGCCATGATAATAATGGACTAACCTCTGAAACTGTAAGCAAGCTGGCAATTAAATGCTTTCTTTTATAAGCATGTCTTTTATCAGGTCATGACATCTTTTCACAGCAACAGAGCAGTGACTAAGACACTGGTTTTGTGAAGTTTATCAGTGACCTCCATGTTGTCATGCTAAGTGTCCTGAGGACCTCTGACACATCTGACCACTTCCTTATCCTTGCTGTGACCCTGGTCCTAGTTTTCCTTCTATCAGACCCCCAACTCCTTCGCTACCATTGTCTCCCAAAGAACCCTTAAATCTTCCAGCCTCCCAGAATTTGATGCAGCCTCTGCTTTCTTTAGTCAAGGCCTCCATCTGCTTTCCCTTCCCCAAACCCCCTCCTGGTGTGGGAGAATGATCTGTATTCTGTCAATTATATTTTAAATAAATGCTGATTGGCCAGGCAGGAAGTATAGGTGGGAAAACCAGACAGGAAGTAGAGGTGATGCAATGAGAACAGGAGAATTCTGGGATGCAGGAAGCTCCCTCCACCACTCCTGCCCAGATCACGGAAGCAGCAGGATGTGATCTGCCAGCTGGAAAAGGTACTGAGCCACTTGGCTAATATAGATCAGAAAAATGGGTTAATGAAGATGTTAGAGTTGCCAGTAAGAAGCTAGAGCTAATGGGCCAATCAGCTTTATAACTTATAGAGTCCTGTGTGTAATTTTCTTTGGGACTTGCCGGTTGTGGGGTACTGGGCAGGACAGATACCCCAACAAGGAGGCCCCTCATGTTACAGATGTCCCAACAAGCAGGCCCCCTCATGCTACACCCTCCCATCCCCAACACCAATCTCACAACACCAGGTCATGGCAGAGCAAATGACCTTAGAGTAGCTATGAAGAGTCCCCCCTCCCCAGCAAGGGAGGGCCTCTTCCCATGTCAGTTTGGAACTAAAAGAAAGCTCTCCAAAGAGTTATGGGCCCAACCTGAGCAGAGATTTTTTGTAGGCAATTTGAGAGTCTGTGCTTCTTGAGTCTGTGACCCTTTAACCCTTTGCTGCTTATCTGGTAGATTGTCCCTTAGATTTCTTTTTAGATTTATTTATCTTATTTTATGCATATGAGTGTTTTGCCTTCATGTATGTATGTGCACCACATGTGGACCTGGTGCCCGCGGAGGTCAGAGTAGGGCACCAGACGCTCTGAAGCTATGGATGTATGTGAGCCACCATGTGGGTGCTGGGAACTGAAGTCAGGTCCTCTGCAAGAGCAGCAAGTACTACCAGCCACTGAGCCATTTCTCCAGCCCCTCTGACAAAATATCAGCGTTAGATCAACTTCAAAGAGGTATCTTATGTGTTTTATGGCTGTGATAAGCACTATGACCAGAGACAGCTTGGGGACAAGAGGGTCGTTTCAGCTACAGCTCTCAGGTCACAGCTCTCAGGTCACACCCCATCACTGAGAGGAGCCAGGGCAGGAGCCAAGGCTGGAACTGAAGCAGAAACCAGAGAGGAGTGCTGATTACTGGCTTGCTCACTTTTTCCCTTACCACTCACAGTGGACTGGGCCCTTCTACATTAATCATCAATAAAGAAAATGCCCCACAAGCTTGTCCTCAGACCATCTGATGGAGATTGCTCTTCAAATGATGTCCCCCTTTTCCAAGGCGACTCTAAGCTTACGTCAAGTTGATGAAACAAAACAAGCAAGCAAACAAACTAACAAAACTGACCAGCCCTAGAGGCAAGATTTCGGTTC